TCCAAATCAGCATTTTGATGAGTCTGCATGATTTTCGGTTGGGTTTTTTTCTCCCTTCTGTTTAAGGGGGTAAATGTGTTGAAACTTCAGTCTTTAGGACCTTATGGACTTGTCTGTATTTTTTGATGATTGGATAATGTATCTGTGTTCCACAAAGCAATTGTAAAACTACCTTGCAGCAGTAATTCCAACACTTATCACATTAAGCAGTCAGATCCCATAAAAGATGTGTATCCATGTAGAACGTATCTCCTTTTGAAGTAAGAGAATCTCTGACATGCTAGGTTTATTAAGAGTGCAAGTAGTAAAGCTTACCTTTCTTAGCTATCTCGGAGTTCTCCATTGTGGTAGTGTCTGGAACACACGTAATCTCTCCCTGAAGTACTTTGAGAGATTTTATGGGTAAGCAGCAGTTGTAAATGTCACCTGTAAATCTTTTTCCATATTTTGACTAAAATTGATAATTGTTGGACATCAGTAATGCTAATCCAGAATTTATCCATCTCTCACTTTCTCTGCTTGCACGTATTTTTCTGTTCTATTTCTTCCCTGCTTGTGCCTTCTCCTTTTTACTTGTTGTAAGGAGAAACTTGACTTTCTACTTGATCATCTAAGCATTCAGCAGCCAGAAATCAGAGTAAGCTTTCTTGCGTTGTGTCTCATAGGTTTCTGTTCCAGTATAACAATAAAAATCAGACTATCTAGTGTATTTGGCTGGAACTTCTTCTCTCAGTGGTTTAGCACTTCATTCCTGACCCAGCAAAGCATGCCAGTATATATTTAACTTCTAGCCTGGGATCCATCCCCTCACTCGTTTTTGCTAGGCTGTTTGTCTTTTCAAAGTTAATCACATGTTTTTAAATATTTTAGTCCAGAAAGAAAGTGCTTAGACAAAGGAAGAAAAGTCTGAGACCTTGAATGTGGTGCGCACTGAAAGCAGAAGAGTAGACCTGATGTCCAGAGTCTTTACTCCCATAGGTCTTTGTGTAACTTCTACAGAACATGTCAGTCCATGCTCCACCCACACTCTTCTCATGTTAAAGATCAGGGAAAAAAACAACTTAATAACTTGTCGTAAATAAAACTAAACCAGAAGGGAATCCATCAGAGAAGGAGTGTAAATCACCACATCCAACAGCATTTTGGTGTTTAACAACACTGAAAAAAATAAACATATATGTGAGATAGTAGTGTAACCGAACGTGGTCCATGGGTCTGCATACAGACATTATGAAGCATAGGCAAGAATAAAATCTAGACTTCAGTTTTTCTTTCAGCTTGGGTGTGCATACTTTAGAAAAGACAAAAAATTCAAATGATCTGTTTGTTTAGTCAAAGACATGAAAAGCTGTCCTTTTGCTGTGAAAAAATTCTTTGTAAAGAGATGTTGAGGACAGACTTTTTATTTAACAGAACAAGAACTAACGTGATCTAGTTGCTGGAATAAAAAACAAGATAAATGCAGACAAGAAATAGCGGTGTTGATTTTCTTGGGTGGTGTTTTTTTGATGTGTTTTGTTTTTTTTAAAATAGACACTAATTACTGTATTAGAAAACTTCTTTATAAGGGAACATGGTGTAAAATATCTTTAAATCTTAAAAAAAAAAAAAGTTGGAGTATCTTTCTGAAAGCTATGCTGTAGCTCAAACAGAAGATACAGATTTGGTAGAGGGAATTAAATTATTCTGGGGAAAACATACATGATCATTTCTGTGTGGGAGTGGCCTCATTTGTATTAGTAAATAATTTTTATCCCCACCTGCTGAAGACCTTTAGTTGCTGAATTTGGCAATTTGCAAGAGGAGGGGTGAGGGTGACAAAAGTGACAACTGATCCATAGGACACCGGGCTCTTTCTGATACTCAGAAGCTGTTTAATCATATAAAGGAGGAGACCTTCAAGATCATCGAGTCCAACCATTAACCTAACACTGTCAATTCCATCACTAAACCATGTTCCTAAGCTCTGCATCTATATGTCTTTTAAACACCTCCAGGGATGGAGCCTCAACCCCTTCCGTGGGAAGCCTGTTCCAATGCTTTACAAATATTTAAGTGAAGAAATTTTTCCTAATGTCCAATCTAAACCTCCCCTGGTGCAACTTGAGGCTGTTTCCTCTTGTCCTATCACTTGCTACTTGGGAGAAGAGACCAGCACCCGCCTCACTACAACCTCCTTTCAGTTAGTTGTAGAGAGTGATAAGGTCTCCCCTCAGCCTCCTCTTCTCCAAACTAAACAGCCGCCGCTTCTCATCAGACTTGTTCTCTAGCCCCCTCACCAGCCTCGTTGCCTTTCTCTGGACACACTGCAGCACCTCAGTGTCCTTCTTGTAGTGAAGGGCCCAAAACTGAACACAGTACTCGAGGTGTGGTGTCACCAGTGCCAAGCACAGGGGGATGATCGTTTCCCTACTCCTGCTGGCCACACTGTTCCTGATACAAGCCAGGATGCCGTTGGCCTTCTTGGCCACCTGGGCACACTGCTGGCTCATGTTCAGCCGGCTGTCAACCAACACCCCAAGGTCCTTTTCGACCGGGCAGCTTTCCAGCCACTTTTTCCCAAGCCTGTAGCGTTGCATGGGGTTGTTGTGACTGAAGTGCAGGACTCGGCACTTGGCGTTGTTGAACCTCGGCCCATATAAATGGCCTTGGCCCATTGATCCAGCCTCTCCAGATCCCTCTGTACAGCCTTCCTACCCTCGAGCAGATCAACTCTCCCGCTCAGCTTGGTGTCAGGTTTGTTTTTATGATGTACACTTCTAGTCTATTTTGAGAAGATTGTTCCCGTGTGAGGGAATGTAGTTCTTTGCTTTGTTTGGAACATGTCTGTCGTTTCTGCAAATGCGTAGTGAGTGCCAGCACACAGTCAGTTACGTACTGGGCTGCTTACTGGTTACATTTAGTAGATAAAAAGGAAAATCCATGTTGGAAATCGTCAGAGCAATTATTATATAGGGTGCTTTCTTGAACAGATGAAAAATGTGGGACTTTTTGAGGATAACTACTGTTAGATGAAAAGTTGACCTTTTAGAGGATGACTATTATTTTTCAAAGTCTAATCAGGTTAGCAGAAGGTATTGGTATTGACAAACTCAATGAAAATAATGCAATACTGTCCACCTGTATTAAATGTAAATCGTGATACATGATATCGTAATACATGAGTATTTACGATCCCCGTATTTTTTTTAGACAGTTCTTAGTTTAATAAGAAAATGTTTATTTAAATGCTTATGTGACAGATTTGAATGTGCTGCTGGGGATCTTGGAGAAAGAGGGGAATTAAATGCTTGGAATCTGCCCAGATTGTGAAATAGGTTGTGCAAAGTTTCTTGTTGCTGATTTATTAGTAGGGATTTATTTTTAGTTGAAAATTATTGTAAATTATTAGAGATAGAGCTTTGGGGTTTCTTTTTTCAGCGTGCGAGCAGTGCCTTCTTAACTACTTTATTTTGCCTGGTTTTTTGAAGCTGTGAAAAGTTATGAAATTGAAGTTCCATTATTGCAACAGTGTTGGTTCTGCAAATTTTTGAAAGTAAAAGTTTGTCACTAACGCATGCAGATAAATTGGCCAAATTGCATGTTTGTTGATTAACAGCTGCTTCTGTTCTAAAAGGGACTAAAAATAGAAAAAATTAAAAAAATTGCATTGTGGTTCTGAAACAGTGGCTTCTGTATAAGCCTCCTCAAACAGAAGGTGGAGTCATGCTTCAAATAATGAATTGTGCATATTTTTTTCAAGACTTCATCCATGGGGAGACAGTAATCCACTGACTTAATTGGTTCATGATCACATGGCCTCAGCCTCATTTAGCTGTTTTCCTAGCCTTGTAGTGAGAGAGAGAGGCAATGAGCAAAGAGCTTCAGGTGGTGTTTTGCCTCTGGATTTCTTCTCACTGGAGTAGGCTTGTGACCTACAAGCCTACTGCAAGTGTGGAACTGTGAATAGCATAGGAAGAGAGACAACATTGATGATCATATTATCAAACATAGAGACAGGTGGAGCCCTAGCTCAGATAAGCAAGTTCTAGGGGATAAAATTAACATTGTATACATTAGAAGGCATTCTGCATAATAAATTCTGTGGTTGTAAAGAAGGGCTCTCACTAGACTCTGAACTCGTTGAAATGTACATTAGCTTATATGTGCAAGGCAAAGAAGTGATTTTATGTTCTGCTACTCTTTTCTACATTAGCAACTGAAAACCTTAAAAAAAAAAAAGCTTTAATAATAACAGATATTTTGAAAAACTAACCAGTAGAGCATGTAACGGATTTATCTGTGTATCTCTGAGTGATCCTCTGGAAATGTGCACCTTCTAAAACAGTGTAGTTCCTGTATAGCCAGTTTTAACTTTATGAATCCCAGTGTAACTAATTAAAGTAAAGGTTTTTACTAACAATATGTGAACTCACAGAATAATTGGGCTGTAATTCAATCTGCCAGCTCTGCTGCCATTCATAAACTCAGGGTTTATGAAGGCCTCAGGAATCTCAGATTGAATTACAGCTTTATTCTGTACGTAACCTGGAACAATGTATGTCCTAGCATTTAATTTGTGAGACTAAGGGTGTCTTATAATCCCGAAAATATTACTTAAATATATACTTACTGTAAAATTCCAGTTTTACATTTGGAGAAAAAAATAGCTGCAGTGCAATTCACATTTTTTTTTATTTTATATGTATAAACTGCTTACTTTTCTTTATATTATGTTGTGTGTATGTGAAAGATTTTCTTACATATCTATATTTCACGTAAAACAAATGACTGTCCAGAGTGTTTACACTTTCTTTAATACTTAGTTTGGTTTACTATTGAAATACAATTTTATTAGTTGCCAGAAGATTACCCTTCAACCTTATTTATACCATTTTCTTAACACAATAAAGTCAGTTACAGAACAGAGCTCAAAATATTTGTATCTATACTGTATTTACTGATTTTTATTTGAGGACTTCGTTCTCTCAAGGCAGTTCTTAAATATTCTCTGTTCTCAGGTTGCTGAGTCAAACAATGAAGGACCACTTGGTAAGAGTTGCTAATGAAGCAGAATTTATCTTGAGCAGACAGAGAGCAGAGGATATTAACCGCCATGCTGAATTTGAGGTAAGAAATGAAATTTCTTTTAAAAAGCCCAGAACACCAAAACATAACAAGCCCCACTGTGTCTGAGGATTCCAATGTATGATACAGGCTTTTTGGGCACAGGAGGTTCCATCCTGAAAAGCGCTTTGCATTCGTAGGGTGTTTTGATAGTTTCCCACTAACTTTGATGGAAAAACAGGCTGTGCAGAGCAGCTGAGATTTTCTCATAATCTGCAAACCATAGTTTGTGGAGGAAGGAATTTTATCATACCAGTGCTGCTCTTTACCATGAAGCAAATATCACCGTATGTGTTAAAGCTGCTTAGTGTCATAGTCAAGATATAACTCTGAAAAAACGTTACTGAAGATAAATGATAACAGCCTGTTAAGTGCAAAACAAGAAATTACCTTTTTTTCTTTTTGTATCATTTGCTATTTCACTTAATCTATCTCTAAAACCATTTTCCTTATGCTCATGCTCACACATGCCTCAGTGTGGTTTTGTTCTATTTTTGTATTTTCATCCCACTTAAAGGATTTCAAAGTGAAATAATGGTCTTTGTTTTTGTAGGCTTGTAATAAAAATACAAGCCTTTTTTATGAATCACTTTAGTCATACCTCCAATTTTGGATCTCAGTTACATCACATATCTCCTTTCTCTGTGCTTCAGTTATTGGGTTGTTTAAATGAAATCAAAGCTATATATATCACTAAATTCACTAATATTCTGCTTAAAGAGTACTTAGTCTTTCTTCTAACATGTGATACTACTTGTGGTTTTGTTTTTAAAATGAAGCATTAAGAGACTGCAGGCACATTTGTGCATAACGTATTTCTAAACTGTTTTTCTCTTAAATCTTTACTTGAAAAAATACCCCCCAAAGATGAAAGCATATTTGTCTTACACAGTGCTTATGTTCTAAAGGTCATCTGTGTTGGCCCCAGGATTCAAACTGTGCATTGTTTAATAACATATCTGCACTTCATCTAGAGCTGGTTACCCCCTCCTGCAAACAGAGATGTTGTAAGACATCTACAGTACCATTTTGCAATGGTGAAATAGCAGGCATGTTTCATTTATTACCTAAAGGTTTTGACGACAGTCCTGTGGAGATGAAAAGTGCATCTTTTTACTTTGTTGCCTGATAATCATTGGAGTGGGACATGCTTGACATCTTTTGCTCTGGATTTATGCAGAATCTCCATGTGTGACATGGCATTATTGATTTGATGAACAGCCCACTTTTATTCTTCAGATGCAAACTATTCACGAAGGTGTGCGTGTATGTGGGAAATCTGTGTGAAGGGTTCTGTCATGTAAATACAGGCTATCTATGAATACGGTTGTTCAGTGACAACTTCACTCTTAACCTTATTTCAGTCTCAAGACACCTTTTATGATGTCTGGAAGAAATTTACGCTGGCATCAACTTACGTTTTTAATTTAGCTCTGAGTTTTGCTGTGACAAGTCTCTAGGATAAGAGTTGGCTGAGACTTTTTAAGTGGATCCTGTTTTGAATCTGTGCTATCTCAGTATGATGGTTCAAGGGGTTTAACTCATCAGGTTGAACTTAAACAGAAACTAGTGTACTAAAATAGCAGTCTGTTTATCAAGTTGAGTTTTGTTACTATGTTGGAAAAACTTAGACCTAGCATCCGTTCTGCAGGTGTGCAAACTGAGGATGTACAAATATTAGATTCTACCAAATGCTTAAATAACGAACATGGTATCTCATGAAGTTAGGGTTACTGATGTCTGTGGCATCCTTCAGTCAGTGCTATGTTTCTTTTGTGGAAGTGGGAACCGCTAGTCACATCCATTCGGAAGTGCAGGTATCACATCAGCAATGAGAAATTCCTGTGTACTGTGTTCCATCCGCCCACAGCATGGTCTGGTTTTCACATGTCCTGTCAAGTGTGCTTGACTTGTTTTAGCACAGTAGTACTTTTTAACCCTGGTGTTCCTCATAGCCTTTTAAAGTGGTGCTCCAGGCAACAGAAAACTGGATGTTGTTCTGTCATGCCCAGAAATGGATCTGTTGCTTTACTAGACTGGAGTCATTCCATCACTTAATGGGAATGGATCTGTGCTGTGTTGGACTGCTGGCATGCTGTGTGTTGCAATTGGTAGGTGTGTTCCTGTTGTATGAATGGGTGTCGATGTTGATGCCTGTGTTTTGGTACTAACACTCATGTCATGACACACTTACAGGTATGTGACAGGAAGGACTCACAAATAAGAGAAAAAGGAATTTCAAAACAATTGATACAGCCTGGTTCATTTATCCAGCTTGAGGAGCTGTAAGGAAGCAGAGTAGCAGATGATGAGCCCTAAGCTAAAGATTGTTTTGGCTAGCCTGGCTGGTGTGGTTTGGTCACCTGCATGCACCCGTTTTCTTGATTCGCTGCTTCATCTTCCATCTATTCTCAAGAAATGAGTTGGAATGAAGATGGTATTCTTCCAGTCATGAGGGAGACTCTGCTTGGTCAGTCCATTGAATGCAATATCCCATCTGCCGTGGCCAGAATATGTCCAGAAAAGACCAGTTGTACAAGGAAGCAGATAGGTTATACTTTCATAAATTCTGTCTTATCATATAGAGATCTGCAACTCAGAGACTTCCCTTACCAGAGGTCGTATCTTTAATAAATAGTGTTGTGATGTTTCTGCTGTGAATTTTTCCAGTTCCTTTTAAAATTTGATGTAAATATTTTGTACCTATAATGTCCTAACACAAGGAATTTCCCTGTTGTGATAGTTGAAGAAAATGAGCAGATCCTGTGTACAACAGAATGATTAAACAATTTCTTGGAAAATAGTGCGATCCTATAACATTTAGCCCTGAAGAATGGTATAGGCAAATGTGGTTTTGATTACATTTAAAAGCGTTTTGTGATTGTGGCAATTACTAGTTGCAAAGCTGAAACTTTTTTTCAGATGGTTGGGATGAGCATGTGTGGTTCAGATCAGAAGCAAGCTTTGGCACCTGGGCTATGGGGAGAAAGGAGATGAGTCTGGTTGAGTGAGGGATAAAGATCCAGAGGCAGATGAGAAATGCAGCAAGAACTGTTACGCATTTTTAACATTTTTTTCAGGCTTGCATTTCTGGTGTTTCAGATCACATATGAAATATTCCATGGTAACATTGGGTCAGCAAAAATCCAGCCCCTGAATTTATTTTTAAAGATCTGTAGTATGTTTACTGCTACCTGGTTTTGATACTCCCATTTCTAAAAAGTCATGACAAAGATGAGCCTTGCAATATGTGTGTCAGATTTTGGACAGCTTTGCACCACAGTGATACGGCAATCTGGTGTTACAAAATTTTCTGTAGAACACTTTTTTTTAAATAAAAGGCAGAGTATCTTTTTATAATTTAAAACTGATGTCTGCTGTCTGGGGCACGTAGAGGCTGTAGAAAGCAATGGGAAATTTAGACAAGCTTCATAACAAAGTTCTGTAGTTATATATTATCACATAGTATTTGGTTATAAAAAGAATAAAGATGGTCATTGTAAGAGGAAGGAAAATCCTAGGAAAATGGGTAATACTAGGAAAGGCAACTGCACTTTAGAAATGTGATGCAAGAAAGAATTTGTTATGTGACTTTGTAGAAGTTGCACAGGGTCCAGAGGGGGAGGTACCACTCCTATTTCATTCTTAATTCATTACAAGTACAGGACAGATGTTTTCCTTCCAGAAATGGATTGAGAAATGTACAGCTATCAGTTCTTTCACAGCCAGAAGGAGATGAGAAGCAGCAGTGAATGTGACACATGTTCACTTTGCCACAAAAGGTCTGATTGGGCCTTTCTTTGCAATTTCTCCATGTGGTGGGACCCTGCATTGGACAGAACATAGGGAGGAAAGTGTCTATACTTTTTCCATTAAGTAGGATGACCAAAAGCACAGGAAGAGTCTCTAAAGCACAGGTGGGGTTTTTTGCATACTGTTCCAGCTTGTGCTGTAACTTCAGATATGCAGGAAACTCTGAGTGCCTGGGTGAGATAGATTTAAATTAAAAGGATTTGAAGATAAACCTTTTCTCTCCTCATTGTGTCTCCTCAAGGCAATTATCTCTCTTTCAGAAACTTCACATAAAGTGTCTTGAATGGCAGCGAAATCTGCACGTCCCCTACTTTGTGTCTGGTGGCAAGAAGGGCATGTGTCGTTCTGGCTTGGCTATTTTTCCTGTTTCTTCCTGGGGAAGAAACGGACCTGGGGGTGCTGGTTGACAGCCAGCTGAACATGAGCCAGCAGTGTGCCCAGGTGGCCAAGAAGGCCAATGGCATCCTGGCTTGTATACGGAATAGTGTGAGTCACCGAGGGGCTGGAGTGTGTCCAGAGAAAAACAGTGAAGCTGGTGTGGGGTCTAGAGAACAAGTCTTACCAGGAGCAGCTGAGGGAGCTGGGACTGTTTAGTCTGGAGCAGAGGAACTGAGGGGGGGACCTTATTGCTCTCTACAACTACCTGAAAGGAGGTTGTAGTGAGGCGGGTGTTGGTCTCTTCTCCCAAGTAACTAGCGATAGGATGAGAGGCAATGGCCTCAAGTTGCATCAGGGTGGTTTTAGACTGCATATTAAGAAAAATGTCTTTACTGAAAGAGTGGTCAGGCATTGGAACAGGCTGCTCGGGGAAGTGATGAAGTCCCCATCCATAGAGGCGTTCAAAAAACCTGTAGAGGCAGCACTTCAGGACATAGTTTAGCAGACATGCTGGTGTTGGTTGATGGTTGGACTTCATGATCTTAGAGGTCTTTTCCAACCTTTGTGATTCTATGATTCCTTTTTGTCAGAAGTCTCTGTCTCCATTTCTATTGCAAACCCCTCCTTTGCCCCTGCAGTCCTGCACTCCAGAAGCTTCTTCAGACTGGAGATGCTCAGCTTCCCTCATGTAAGATCCAAACTTCCACCCTCTCTAGCGGGCTCTACCTTACAACTCAACAGCCTGGACAACAACAAAGAAGTTTTCCTCTTTGGTGCCTGGCCACTCCTTTTTTTTTAACAGGAGAGAACAT